CTTCCGAGGTGGGCAGTCAACACCCTCGTTGGGGTGAGCACCTTTTGTTCTTCTGGCAGGCTTTGCGATGATGATTGGTTTTGGTATTGGCAGTTCAGTAGGTGCGTCTGATGGTGATGCGGCTGCCCAGAAAAAGGCCCTTAGGTTGGCAGTTCTGCTATTGTGTCTATCTATACTCCCGGCGGCTGCAGCCATTCTGTTGCTGATCTTCTGTTGTTGGTATAACTGCCGCGAGAAGGAGCAGCGGCAGTGAGCGAGAGGCGCCGCTTCATCCCTTCGTGGGCTGGAGATGACTGCGGCCGGCGGCGGCGGCGGCCTCCGCGCGGCCGGCGGCAGCGGGAACACACACACGCACAGACGCTGCCGTGGGACGTTCAGGGCGCCTTCGCCGTGGAGCTCCCCGCTTATAATTTAATTTATTTGCCGGCGTCGTCGTCGTCCCCGACGAGTTGGGCGCCGTGCTGGTGCCCGCACCGTTGCCTGCTTGCGGCCCTCCCGCCGCCAGTTTCGGGGAGGCGGGCGACCAGCGACGGTCCTTATTTTGTGGCTTTTTTTTTCACGGTGCTGTTTTCAGAAGCGTGTGGGGGAGCAGCTGCGAGGGCGGGGCGGGGCGGGGCGCGGCGGTGTTGCGGCTCTCTGGCCGCCCCGCACGGTCTGCGCGCGCCCCTCGTCCCCCTGCCCCGGCACGCTTTCCGGCAGAGAAGAGGCGGAGTGCCGGCCGCGAGGGCCCTCGCGTCCGGAGAAGCGCATAGTGCGCCTTCGGCGGGGAGTAGTCTGGGCCTTCGCTCCCCACAAGTAAATGAATAGGAATAGGAAGAAGTAGGGAAAAGGAAAATGGGGTAAGGAAGGAACAAGGAAAGGGGCAAATATTATTATGCTTTTTATTGGCTTATGCTCCATTCGTTTTGTGAGTACTTCAACGTGTGCGCTGCGGTGGCCTCTGACGCGCCCAACGCGGCTCTTATTCTTTGTTGTTTGTGATAATTAAGCCGCTGGCAAACTGGGGACGCTGCGGCGGGGGTGGACTGCAGGCGGGGGGACTCTCACAGGTCCGCAGGGCACGGCCACTGCCTCCCCGCAAGCCGTCAAAAATGCGGCGAAGGGCCGCCGGCAAACCGAGCGGGGTGTTATCAATTTGTTTGTTCTTATTTGTCTTTTATTGTTCTTTTTCTGTTGCTTCCTACCTCTGCTATTGGTTCTTACTTTGTTTTTTATATATACCCCCTGCTATTGTTATTGCTTTGTTTTGTTTTGTTTTTGTTGGGAAGGGACTGGCGCTGCGTTTTACGACGAGTGGGAACTCGTGCGGTGTGTGCGCCCCGCGCCGGGGCCGTGCCAACTCTCCCACTCCCCCTCTCCCTCTCTCTTTTCCTCTCGCCCCGCTCCTCCCACACAGACGCAGAGAGGCAGAAGGACAACGAAGAAGAGTGACGCTGCGGCGGTTTGCGGCGTGGGCGCCCCTTCCCGCCGGTGCCGGCTGCTGGCGGCGCCACTCGCGGCGGCCGCCTCCGCCTCTCTCTCCCGCGCCCCCTCTCTCACTCCCGCGAGCACGTCGTTGTTTTTTCTGCGGCTGCGGGCGCGTCTGACTGCGCGGTGCCGGTTGCGTGCCAAGGCGGCGGCCGAAGTTCCCGGCCGCGAGGCGGCATCGCCGCGGCGGGGTCTGTTTGGCGCGGCGGCGGGGGGTGCCTGGGCGCGCGAGGAGGGGGAGGGGGGAGGGGGCCGGTTCCGTCGCAGACGCGTTTCCGCGTCGCGGCAGGGCGGGGGCACCGCT